TGAATCTGTTTACTTCAAAACATATCTAACCAAGGTTAATGCTCATTAGATTGTTAATACATTCTGGCATCACCTAATAATAATGACTATACTGAATGAAATTTACAATTTTAAACAAACACAATAATCTGGTTTGTGCAGGTTATGTGAACATTAATTAATCAACTGAATCAGAATTTTAATGATACTACGTGATGGTGTTCTAATCATTTTGTATACAGTGAGTGATAAGATTAAATGTAGGTTTGCATCATTGGTGGACGATATCATTGGAATTTGTGACTCATTTCTCATGTGATAAATAATCAGGTTGATATATTTACATCCATCTAGCAACACTTCATTAAAAAACATGATTATCACATTTTTCCAACATATCAGGAAAGGTGTATAGCACATTTTTCATGTGAAAATAGAGTACAATTTACAGTAGTAAGTTTGAAATAATACTAATACAAGTACAAATCTTATCATCAACCAAATGAACATAGACTATTTTTAACATGAAAACGATGCATGATTGTACAACAAAAAATGTCAATGATACAAATTAAGATAGATAAAACGGTCAAGGCACTTATTACGAAATCAGATTATATGTTTTCTTTGAGTGAAGCTAACAGATGTGTTCGTCCGTTACAATGAAAATCAAATAAGTCAGTCAAGAAAGTTATTATAGTGACACATTACATTTTACGCGAAACAGGAGCATTGTGAAAAAATCATAATGGAAACATAATTCCTATCTGCATAAAGTATATACACCATATAAAAGTAATGGACAATCACTTGACGGCGAACATAAGTTTCACCGCTCAAATAAAGTCACTATGATTTTTTCACAATGCTCCTCTCAATTTATGACGGGATAACATTTAAAGCTAGTGACTTAATATGTTGGTAGTGGTGTACATTAACAACCTCGACTCACCTCACTACACACAATGATAAGGATGTTGATGGATTCCGAAATTTTATCACTTTGAAAACCGATATGTATCAGCCAATTTATTACTCAAGTTAGAATTGAGTGACATGATACCTGAATTTTTGAGAAGAAACACCAACTAACAGTCTGCAAAGTGAATCGGCTCAAAACATAAATTGAACCTCCATGTTCAGAAAATAATATGTAGTTTATATACCGACATGTTTTGAAGAGAAGTTTGTATAAACTGAATATGATTTTCATTTGAAAATAAAACTACTTGAAGAATAGGTTGAGTTTCAGAGTTCAGATGAATACCTCTTTGACACTATTGAGTGAATCTGGTTAATCACAATGAAGCTTATATGGCTAACTTGAAATGGATTAATAGTCAGTAATGTAGATTATGAAGAAAAAGCTACGCCATGTTTACTTCATCATCATCTCTTAACACATACAGAGAACAAGACAGTTAAGAAAACATTCGGATAATATTGCTGTGTCAAATGGTCATTTATCACGTCAAACTACTGTAAATAATATCACATCATTATCATCATTGTTTTACTGGAAATAAGGGAACTCAGCAATTCAAGACACTCTCTAGGCTATGTTTCTCCAATTTACTCTATTACGTAAGTAATGTAGTAACCGTTCTCTGGTATCAAGTCTTGAAAGAATACACTCCCGACTATTGAAAACTACTGAATTATATGATTGTTTCATAATTTGAAACACTTGTATGTGAGTCACTAGCCTGATGTTTCACTCAATAACCAGCTTACACTTGATTTTCGAAAGCGTGTGGAGATTCAATCGAAATCGAGACTTGTTCGAAGCTTGACAGGTTCCTTGAATGTTTATGACGATGCCGCCAGTTTGCACATTTCTTCAGTAGTATGAAGCAACCAAAGTTTACTCAAATGGACGAGAATAATTTGAGCTCTAGAATAACAAGTGTTAGAACTCCGCGTAAGTTATTCAGATTTATATTGACACTGACAGCATGAAATATTCAGTTGTACAATAAGCGTATTTACTATTCACTACACCATCAAAAGTTGGATGTCTGTCTAGGTGTCCATAATGTTATCTTGGTTTCTCTGAAATTCTGTTTGATCTTCTTGATTGTTCAGTATTCCGAGTTGCATTTTCACTGATTCCATTAATTTTTACTTGGTCTACGTGGTTACTGTTAACTAAATGGCCATTCAAACCAAGAATCTTTAGCATCTGACTACCTATTCTCTGAATTATTGTTCCTGTTGTTGGTAGATAATCATTTCCTCTGCAAAACTGTACTTACGGTGATTTTGAATTATAAGAGACTTGAAGAGTTTGGCTGGGTTCTCAAGAGTTATTGAATGTTCTGAATTACGATATTGAAGTAGAAAGTTAATAATGCATTTCTCTAAACTTTACAGATTACTTGGATCTACTGATGTGATATCACTCTTCAAAGTTCGGATGTAATTTAATGCTTAACCATTAGATTAAGGATGCCGTGGGGCTGTAAATAGATGACCGTATTCAATATCACTAAGCCATATGTCAAATCCATTTTCAGTGAAATGAGTCCCATTAACAGATACAAATGCATTAGGTAATCATTCACCAACAAATACATCCCTCATTGCTTTTTGAATAGATTTTCCATTAAGAATCTTTGTAAGTACTACTTCTGGACATTAGGAATATAAATCAATTACAACTAAAGCACAATATGAGTTTAGAAATGGTCCACCATAATCAGCATGCATGAACTCTCAGCCGAGGATTCCGAGTAGGTTTGTTGTATGTAAGTTGATATAAACAAACAGGAAAGATGTAACCAAACTGAAAACTTTGACCAACGGTAAGTTAGTTGGACCACTCGCTAGAAATATATTACACATGTAGTTCTAGTCATCATTGGTTTATGTAAGATAACTTTGACTAATTATCTTGTCTGGTCCACAATACCTTTCCATATCCAATGATGTTGGTCCTCAATATTTTATCAAAACAGGTTTGTATTTTTAGTCAAGTCTGGAAGCGTGATTCATACGTAGACAATTACTTGAAATAAGTGTCACCAACAAGGAACGATTTGGTAATTTCAAAAAAATTAAGCATTTGGTAAATTGTTATATTTTCGGAAGTTCTGACTTTCCTGAACCTAGTACATGCTCCCTAAACAAAGAATAAATCAACACGGTTTAAAATACCTCAAAGTAAGAGATCTTCAGTACCATCAAACCTACAGTAGGTCTAATCATCTTAGTTTAATGTAAATTTCATTGAACGTGATTCTGTGTACGAAATGTGATATTTGTAATCCGGAGGGGGAGTAAGGTTGGAAATATTTTTTACTGTTAATGGCACGAGATGTGTATGGAAACAAATGTGTGAATAGTTAGATAAATTATTATGCATTCCTTTCTTCTGAGCGTGATATTTTTACCTTGTAATCAAGAATTCAGTTAAAAGTCAACACCGATTAGTCATAGTCACCATATACCAACTCATAGGATTCATAGTTACGAATTTTAGGTTGAAGGTGGAACACTAGTTCATTGTAACAACTGCAAAATACTAGTTGAACAACATATGTTAGTGGTTTTGCCTCAAAATCCATACACAATTAACAATCAGAGTATGCAAAATTCAGTCAATTTTTAAAGTCCATACAATAATTCACTGCAAACAACAACAACAATGCATCCCATTTTTCATTGTAGATATAGTTGCAGTACAGAATGAATATATCATTTTCTTTTATCCTAAGTGAGCTACGGATTTATTGTTTAACAAACTTCATTTGATAGACGTTTTCCCACTAAGCAATCACACTATCCTTTCGGTGGCTAAAGAGTTATCACAATCGAGATTTTAAAGCTCAGTAACAGAATAACTGCTTACTTCTGTTTGATTGATTAATAGATAGTTAAGTTCTTAGATATTATATCTAACAGCCAATTGGTCACAAACATGACGTGGTCGGATAAACAGAAATCAAGCAGATAAATCTAATTAGATGAACATTTTTAACTGTTACATGACTGATCTTACCTTACATCATATTCTACACATACCATTGTCATTTGTTGATGACAAACTACAATGAAGCAGTATACAGTACTATGGTAGTCCGATGCGCAATGGAACCTATGTTTTATGAAACACAAATGATATCAATGCTGTTTGTTGAAAATCAAGTATTCCTAAGTTGCTTTGACAGATTTAACACATATCTCTTCGACCTTTTTATCTCACTGAATTATACTTCTCGAATCAAATTGTGGTCCGAGCTACTTATAAGCAGTATATAACGTGAGCGTCAACGTAATGTCTGGCAGCAGAAGATGGGGGAAGATCAAGAAAGGAAGAGTTAGAACACAATGGAATTTGTATGAAACGCATGAATAGTGACAATGGAATGATGTTTTGCAACAGGAACAGTCCAGTTCGGTATGATGAACTGATATTTTGCAAATTAACGATTTACGATATGGTTTTCCGATTTTACTGAGTAACTCTGTAATTTTCGTTAAATACAATCCGGTTGCCCCACCTGTGTTCGCGTTCACTACAATATATTCGCTCCCTAATCTTCTCCATAACTGCAAATACTTTTAGTATCGCTATCACTCTTGGATTTGAACTGACAGTTGAGTCTCTGTGCTGATGTGGTATAGCAACCTGAACTGATGTACTTACGTACGAAGTTCTGCGTTGTATGTGTCTGTCTGTCTGTCTCTTCGATTTAGAATATAACATGAATTATTAAGATTTAAGTGGCATAATTAATTGCACTTTTTTTTATTGATACCAATCGACAAAGCAATATTTTTGTAAAAAGTGAAATATTAGTCAACATCTATTGCAAAATGGTCAAAAACTTCAATTAGAATTGCGATGGCATTTTCATAGGAAAGCTGACAGATTAACGGCGTTTTTCAAGTAAATTAAAATATATTTTTAAAAATTATATCATTTTGATTAATTATTACATTTTCATTATATAAAAGAAAGACGAAAACAATCTTAAAAATCAAAATAGAAAGTCATCATGATATCTTGTTAGGGAGAATTAATTGGATGTAGTTGGTTTCAATAATTTGGTCAACACCTGATGAGCTTTTGCAATAAGTTCATCACAGAATTCATTCGAACTTTTCGAGGCTGTTTGATATGTTTGAGCTTGAGTATTAAGCCAATTTCTTGCCTTATCAACCATCAGATACCATTCATTCTTCTTTTCAAGCATAGATAACTCCAAAAATGCGATTACTAGAGCAGTTCCCCAAGTAACATTCGATAGAAATGAGGATTTTTCTAAAACCGAAAAAGATTCGACTTAAGATTGTGATTCGATACGAAAATAATCAAATAATTGTTACCAGTACGAACATTATACACTTCCTTTCAGTCGACGATATATCCTTAATGATTTGTGAATAGTGAAAAACTATGTTAGAATTAATTCATAAAATGTTCTCTTGAATGTCACCTTGTTGTAATCAACTCGTAAATGTGAGCACACATGTATATTTACTTAGGGAAATAGATAGACAAAAAGGTGTAATTGTATGAGTGCAAATTTAAACTATTTAATCAATGGAAATCATCAATAAACCTGATTGTTGAACAATACTGAAAACAACCTGACAATTGAATTTTGAAATCACAAAAATAAAAATCAAATAATGGAAATGACTAACAACTTTCAATGGATTCATTAAAATATACCTGTTTGTTTTAAAAACACTGTCAAATCTTCAAGCGGTATTTCAAAACATTCACATAAAGCAGAATTTAAATCCCAGTATCCTGAAAAATTCTGCAATTCAGCAAGTTTTATATGCTTTTCCATAATTTTAACTGGTTGAAGTACTTCACTATCATCTAAATAATAAATAAATATGAAATACTATCTATTTAACACATGTACAATAAAATTAATTTTATATTTGAATAGTTTTATTTGCTAAAGAATTAGAAGATTTAGTATAAAAAAAACCATAATTTATAATGAATTTGAATCGATATACTGTTGGAAAGAAGTCATGTTGAATTCTTTAGTGAAATTTGTACTGAACAAAATTTGTTTTCAATGAATATTTGTGTGCTTAGAATCAACTTAGTTGAAACTTTAGTTAACTGTACTATTCAATTAAACAATAGTGCATGGTACAAATTTCAATTTATTTGATACTAGAGTAGATATCTAGTTTATATTCGCGGTCAATTTTTATAAACTTATTCCTGAACTGATTAACGCATGTATATGAGGGATACTAAATTATATCAAAGAGATTGTTTCGTTATGTATAACTGATATTGTCAAGAACAAAATTAACCAGTCGATGATTGATTCAATTCGCATTAACGACTAATCAATTATGAATAGTGATTTTTTTCACAATGTTCACTTTTACCATTCACCAAAAAAAATACTAAGTAACAAAATAATTGTTTTGATCAGCTAGATCTTGAAACATAATAGTCATTAGATGTAATTAAAATGTTCAGATAATTAAACTGTCAAGAGGCAGAGCAATAGATGAAGTATTGAAACTTCATCATTTGAGGTGGTTGGGACATGTGTTGCGTATGCCTAACCTCCGACTGCCTCGACGAGCTTTGTTTTGTAGTGTAGGAGTAGGTTGGAAGAAAGTTAGGGGCGGCCAGACCTAAACATGGCAGAAATCCATGAAGTCACTCACAAGTGGACTTAGCCATGTTGGTAATTGTCGACTACCTGGTTGGGGTCCGCGAGATGATAATAATCGATGGTTAGAGACCTTGAATGACATGGCTCAAAATCGTTCGCAATGGCGCCAGTGCATTTATTCTTTGTGTTCTCTCAAATCTTAATCTTCTGGATTCTTCAACACCTCTAGCTTTTACTTTCTAAACTTATCTCATTGAATCACACTTCGTGAATAATATCTTCTAATTCTAAAGTCTACGATTACTTCTAATACCTTTACTACCTCTTCTACTATTGGATTTGAATTGACAATTACATCTCTGTGCTGATGTGGTATGGCAACATGAACTGATGTACTTACGTACGAAGTTCTACGTTGCATCTGACTGACTGATTGAAAATGTCAAGAATTCTAATGTTTGATGTCAATGATCTACTAACATTAGATAAGGATCGTACTAGACCAACCAGATGATTGCATTGATAATTACTGGATTAGTAAACACAAACTCAGTACAAAACGTATATCTTGCTTAGCGAACAAACAAAATGTTCTTGTCACGGTTTCTAGGCAAAAGAAACGTATGGATTGAGCTAGTAGATTATGGCGTTTTATATGTCTTTGATTATATCAACTGGAGACCTGCAACTTCAATAAGAATACAATTAACACTTATCACTTGAGCGGCATTGGAACCATAAGAAAACAAAATACATCAGTCGTAATATGTATAGTTGTTATATCAAACATTTAATTCAAACAGATTAAAAGATGATAGGATTCACGAATACACCAGATTTTAGCCTACCTTGATCACAGAGATCTGTTTCAAAGCCCAATGAACCATTAAAACAGCACATCGGTGAAGCTAAAATAATGAAAGAAAAAAGAGACAACAATTTCGATTACTCTTAACTAAACATAAGATAATTTACAAAACAACATTTGCCACTGCTACTCACTTAAAACATCAGATAGGAGAAATACTCTAATTACTAGTTTACTGAAATATATGTTTCAGCATAATTATGATTTGAATTGAAAATTTTATAAGATATTTTACAATCAAGTGAAAGAATGGAGTAGCTTTCCATGATAAAGAACAATGTACCATGGAATATGAATGTTACAAAAATATTGTACTACAATGTGAGTTATTTTAAACAATAATACAATAACCATATAATTTTATATGAAGACGATGACGTTTATCATTACTAAACAACATATTTTCCGCTTGGCGCACACAATTACTGAATATTTTATACAAGGAAAAAATATTTTTAACTAATGTAGATCCGCATTACCGGCTTGTGAAGATTGTTAAGTTACACATTTTTGAAACCATGAATCGATCAATGTTAGACCACCATTAGAAACCTAGAAGCACTGGACGGCCGTTTCGTCCTGGTATGGGACTCCTCAGCAGTGCGCATCCATGACTCATGCACCCCGCAGGATTCGAACGGGTGAATTTGATCAAGTTAGACATTAACACCGTTAGATACCGGCTCAGTGATCTAACGGTTAGGGCGTTCGCGCACAGTACCGAAGGTCCTGGGTTCGAATCCTGCGGGGTGCAGGAGTCGTGGATGCGCACTGCTGAGGAGTCCCATACCAGGACGAGGCGGCCGTCTAGTGCTTCCAGGTTTCTAATGGTGGTCTAACATTGATCGATTCATGGTTTCAAAAATGTGTAATGTAGATCCATTAGTGATATTTATTCATTGCAACTAGAATGTTAGTACACATTTTAAGAAGAAAAAAACATATTTGTCATATACCCTATTAGACAGTTACTAATATAATTCATCTTAAAATATTGTCAATCAATAATATCATTTGATACTTCAGAGTTTCCTTTGAACTTTAGTTGGTGTTTTATTTTTAATTACGTTCGTGTGAGAAACGATGATAATAAATCTGGAATATTATTGGATTTGAAAAGTCAATTACCATATTTATCTATGTAAATAAATGTAGTTCAACGATCAGTGATCAGTGTATATATATATATATATATATATATATATATATATATACGGTTGTGAAACAACATAATTTGTAAGCTCATCTGATGAATTATGTTTGAGTATTTCCGATTGTTACTGAATTAGATGTGACAAACTAATGACAACATACCAATATGTGCATGTGTGTGTAAAATAAACAGTTTACACACAATTATTAACTCATAAAAGAGACCCAAAAGAATAAAACATTAATGTTTGAATATTTTGGAATCGTTAAAAAAAAATACATAGAAACAAGGTTAACTAACCGGAATAGGTCATGCCTACAAATAAACATGAAAAAAGTATAATATTTTAACAATAACATAAACAAAAGTATAAATAGATAGGCAACATTTAATCATAATAAATCTATGTTACACAATTACCAGTATAGAAAAATACGCATTAGGGTCAAACAAGTTGCAAAAAAAAAACACACTTAACAAATAATCAAGTGTTTAAATGAAGCTTATAAGCATACAATTATTGATAATTGAAATGTTGTTGTTTTTAAAACAACAGGAAGGTTTAAAAGCTTCGGCTAACTAGCTATCAGAAAAACTCAATTAAACTTTTATTCGTTCTGCAATAGTAACTACAAACGATGACATATAATGGCAACAATTACATTTAGCCCTGTTAGATAATACTTGATTTCGTTAGTTGCCTACACGTATTAACAAACAGCCAATGAATTATTGGCTAGCTATATTGAAAAAATAAATTTTTTAGTGAGTTATGCTTGATTAAGCGATAGTTAATAGAATCAAACTTAAGCAGCAAGGTCCTAAATGATACAAGCTTGAATCCACACCACGTTGGTCCAATGTATAGCATAGTTATGAAAATGGTGGATCAAATGATATTTTCATGATCTCTAAAACCCTGTTATGCTCGTCTCTAGGTATGCTTAAATTATTACGAGTTCACTTTAGTCAAATAACGGGAACAAACCAATGAACCAGCGTCCAGGTAGGCTACTGTGATCCCTTGACCAAAAGGTATCAGCAAGAAGTCTTGATATAGTGTAGAAATTGTATTCTACAAACACCCAGCCAGCACACAATGAATCCAAGCACTCAAACTGCGTTTATTTATACTCCATAGAGACGTCCTTGGAACAGTCACAAAAATAGCACAGCAACCAATCACAACCAAGGATTTTCCTGGTGGGGAATATGATCTCAAGGTCGGCTGATCGATCCATGAAACAAATCCAAAATAAAGATATCTATCAAGTGAGTTCTCGGGATCTAACGTCCCCAACAAACCCTAAACAGTGTTACAAGATATTTTGAGTATTACACAATTTAACTTTTAGGGAGTATATATACATATATCTATGCCCACCCCCTTTAGGAAATGAATCAATCGCTCGACCAATGAAATGCATTCGTTCTTTAGGACATTTATGATGCTCATCAAATGGCCTGCACTTTTGACTTTTGTTTGACTCATTATATCAGTACAATGTTATGGATCAGATTAAGCACGCTGGAAGTGATTATATCACGAACCATAATGTATGTTATTCTTCACCTTAAACATGATTTATGACAAAATTAATTGAAGAAAAATCGACTAAGAAGAAAATTGAAATTCATTAATGAGCAATATATATATATATATATATATAGCAATATAATAGACTTACCACTATCACAACAATCATAAAGAATATTTGCTGCAGGCATCGCCATTCCAAGTGCTAAGAAGAATAAAGACAGTAAGAAAAGTGCGATATGAAATGATAATAACTTTCATCTAAATTTGAATGAATAGTTTTTCATAGTAGTTAGACAACGAGTTAATGCAAGATATTAAAGAAATTTATATTTGTAAGTCTTAGTGATTGGACTTTAAGTACAACCAAATTTTGCTCGGCAATCTGCTCCAAGTTTTTTCAAAGCACTATAATCATACATGAAAATGATTGAATAGCAATAACACCAATAATCCGTAAGCTAAACAAGTCATTCAATCATGTTAACAATGTAGAAGTGGCTTTAATTGTAAGCAAGAACCAGACTCAGTATCAAAATAGGAACAACAAAATTGTGTATACGAGATCAAATTTAATGACTGTAATGTTACGTATGTGTGTGGAACATCAAGACTGCTGAATTTAAGAGTGAAGGGATATAAAGTTCGTTTAAAGCACATTCCTAAAATGTCAAAAGACCTGAAAAAGCAAGAGAACAAGTCAGTGATAGCATTACACTCAAGAGAATGTGGTTATACAATTGATTTGAATGCCACAAGAATCTTCCAAAAAAGGCTTTGGTTCAATATGAGGAAAGACTAATACGCCTAAAACCCTAACACATGTGTAGTAATTTAAACAACATTAATGGAAGAGATGGGATACAATTAACTGTTTCATGGCAAGCTGAATAAGTAAACTTGAACTCTTTTTATTTTTCACTTATTTATATGGACGACTAAAATTGCGTTCATTTGCTCTAAGCATTTGGTCTATCTGAATGTACGATGAATAATCAGCTTGATTAAAACAATAACAAAAATTTCACTTTTGTCTGATCCCAACCTGGTAGTCTGCACCTATTACCATGGCTTAGTGACTTCGTGGATTTGTGCCATAACCGGTTCGCCAGACTATATTTTTTCTTAATACCTGTCGAATATTCTCAAACAATATGAAAGAGAAATAAAATTTGGAGTCAACAATTTTTATGAATTCATTTTTTACAAATTTAATTTGTTCACATTTCCCGATTTTACACAAGCTTTGATCTGATGTCATTAAAACAACACCCTATTTTTCTCACATCAGATGCACTTACACATTTAAAACTGTTATCTTAACATGCTTTTTACACCAAGTGCTTCATACACAATCCAATTAATGCCACTTCTACATTGTTAACATGATTGAATGACTTGTTTAGCTTACGAATTATCGGTGAACCTCCTGTTGCTATTCGATAATTTTTCTTTGAAAAAACTTGGATCAGATTGCTGAGCGAAAAGCTGGTTGCACTTAGCATTCAACCGATGGAAACCGACAAATATAGTTTTCCTCTTTAGTGTAAACGGGATGTTTTTTTAGCAGTCGAAATAATTCAATCTTTGATATAAATATTCTAGTCAAAATATCATTGAGTAAACAACAAATCTTGAAAGAACCAATGATTTGAAAGTGGAAAATATAGTCACTTTTAACACAAACTGTAATTAAATTAGTCGATGGAAAGTCAAAACCTCCCAAACCGACTCATTATCTTTATCTAGTTATTTACAGCTACTCTATACAATACTCATATACTGGTTCCGAAATAACTGAGCAAGATTTCGAAGACACCTTTAGTCTAGAATACCGATAGACGCACACCATTTATCTCTAAACAATAACCTTCAACATTATCAAATAATAAAGAATAAGTTGGTGCAAAGTATACTCATCTTTTGATTGATAGGTGGACACTTTCTCAGTTTCAGGTTTACCGCCAACTAGTAAATAATAAGAAACCGTTTGCCTGAGCAGTGAGATTCTGTTGACTATCAATCTCATCGAAGTTAATTAAACTCTCAAATAAGTGACATTGCTGGGCTTAACGATTAAACCTCTAGGTTTTTGATGAAGACCAGTGCTGAAGTAACAATTTAAATCTATAGAAGATATGTGTTTACTAAAGATTTGTTTATTCTCACTCAGGCATTTACCTGTATACTCAGTCAGTGAGTTTTCCATGTGAGAAACCAATCGTTTAACAGTCAAGTAATATATGATCAAACATGTGACGAGATTAAGTGATAACAAAGTAAATAGATAGTGATGATGGACATCATTTGATGAAGATGATTTAAATAATGGTGTATTGTAAGCTTTGATCGATCAGTTTTTTTTCTGATAAACAATTTCCATTAGATTTGGTATGTATTTCTCAACCAACTTACCCCAGATTGAAGGATATCAAGGAACAGATGTTGTAAATAATATAGCTCAGCGGATTCGTAATGATATGCAAGTTTTTTTTCAGATCATCAAGGTGGATAGTTTGTGATCAAGAGTTTTTCAGAGTTACAAATATGGCAGACATAAAAAAAATCGACCTAACTGAGAATATTATGGAGTAAATATTAGAATAAATGAATCTTACGAGCGCAATCACGATGCATACGAGGTACAGTGACGCTAATTCTCTCCTTTGGATCAATATCTAAAAACGAAAGGAAATAAAAAGTAATCAAAGTCTGAGTTGGCGAAAGAATTGCACTTTTCCTTTATATTTTAAACAATGAAGTAAAATAATTTTGAACCACATCACGACAAGTGATACGAAGAATTTTTTTATGTACAATAAACAGAGACCTTCATTTATAATCCCTATGAAATTTATGTTGATTACCTAATTTGGTTGGATCTACAGCAATTAAAGCAGTGAATTTTGACAATATATTCAATTGACATGATAAATTTTCAACTTGTTGACGTATAGATTTTAATTCGGTTTGATTTGTTTCATTTGTTTCATTCAATTGTAAACTATGATAATCATCGACAAGTTCATTGATTTGTGTATTTCCAGCTAATCGATGAATTGGTAAATGTTCAGATAAATTCAATTTATCGTTCGACGATATTACATTTGATAAATTTATTGAAAATGATTTATTTTCATCTAATATTTTATAATTGAAATCTATATGTCCTTGAATAGTTGAAGATTTATCTATTGTTTAAATTTTTTAAAAGAAAAAGAAAGATAATAGAAAATATTATTTAAATAATCATATCATTGAAATGTATGAATTGAAATCAATTAATCTAATTAATTAATTTATGATTAATATTGATAGTGCACACTAATTGAACTCTTTTTAAAAATTAATAGATCAATTCTTTTTATTAACTAGAACATATTGAAACAAACAAACACAATAATGAATAATAGTTTATCAATTTTCAATTATTTAATCAATTGACTGATATTAATGAAATTAGCTTGACAAATTTAATAGAAGACTAATTTGAACATGTTTATTGTGATCTATTTGATGAATCATAATTGAACCAGATGATACTACGAATTCCATAAGCAATTGTACTCTTAGCTTTCATTCATTTGTAACATAAAAGTTGTGTTGGCATGTGTATCGTGTATCCAAATCATGTGGATCAATGTGTTGAGATGAATAGAAATAAAACATCAACTAACAGGACGATAAATGTATATTGTTTATGTAACCGAATAACAAATCAGGATTAATGTACTTCAATGGTAAATAAATCTATCAAGAAGAATTAACTGTTAACATGTTTCTAACAAACCAGATTCCAGTGGAGGAGGAAATCAGGAAGAAGCGGTGGAAGTGGATAGGACACACATTCCGGAAAGCACCTAACTGCGTCACGAGACAAGCCCTCTCACATGGAACCCTCAAGGCAAAAGGAAATTAGGAAGGCCAAGGAACACATGACGCAGAGAAATAGAGAAAGATATGAGAAGAATGAACAAAAATTGGATAGAACTGGAAAGGGAAACCCAGGACAGAGTTGGTTGGAGAAAACTGGTGGGCGGCCTATGCTCGCATTGGGGTTAACAGGCGTAAGTAAGTAAGTAAGTATGTTTCTAACAATACAAGTGAGATACATGTTCACTGATTTCAGTGAACAACAGTTAGATGAAATAAACCTGATGTGTTTTTTCACAACAATAATAATAATGTTTCATATCCATCAGTTAAATTAGCACAATTTTATTGAATATCATTCATGTACAGTTAAATTTATTTACAACTTATTGAAATGCTTTTAATAAATTACCAAATTACGATTTAACTGTTCACACTCGTTTGTCTGAACAGAAAGGCAGTATTATGATAGAAAAACGCTGATAGAAATAAATTAAGACACGTAAATATACCTACTGTAAATAATTTGAAAATACAATACAAAACAGGTTATTATAAGTTATATGTACCAAAAAGGTTTAATTTTTTTAGTTACACATGTTAGATAATCATAAATAAGATAACATTTACTAACCAGATTTGAAAAAGCCAAAATATGTCGAGAACTGCTCAGGAAATATTGGGGCTATTCGCTTGGGAACAACTATCACTTCTACTGGTTTCTCCTTGCCATCATGAAGTTTCTCGACTAATTTCCAGTCCATTTTGATATTATCCGCTCTTGGTTGTAATGCAGCTGAAAGAGTTCTCATCACAGCTGATTGTAACTGACAGCTAAATCGAATATATAAGAAGCATAAAATTTATAAACGAACCCATAAATATGAGGGTTAGTTAAGACAGAAAGAGGAAAGGTTCATGACATTGTAGTCAACAGATATTTCATAAATTTTATTGTAGCAAACTGTGTCATCTATGTGAAAGTGAAACCCAACTACCCTTGAATATTACTAAGAGATATTATCTGTTCACGTCTCACTTATCAGTGACCGGACTGAAGCTTTATTTACACCTAGTACATAAATCCACTGAACATATACTTCATTCAGTACAAAAACCACTGTTTTCACAAAGTAGCAAACACATAAATATTAACTGAACACTTGAGAATCACAGTAAGTACTTTAATATTACAACTATTATAGTTTAGTAATCCTTTGACAGCTAACAATTTATTATCCAGAAAATGAAAAGATCGAAATTTCACGATTAGTTTATTAATTGTATCGAATCATTTATGAAATAATTCACTTCATTATTATGATTTATGTCTTATGAAATAATAAACTGTAAGTATTTTCTTTTGAAAAAAAATCAAATTAATCAACTAAATCATGACATAAACATCAATTCACGTAAGACCAATTAATAGGTAAAATCTAATACAAACAAGATTAGTACAGTAAAAAGTACACGACAAGAGAAAATGAGACCAGTATAACTATAATACCATTGGAATACAGTTCATAAAAGTCTAAAAAGATTTTTTTTTAAAAAGAAAAAAGAAATGATGCCCTATAGAAAAAAAAAATAGAAAACCAAACACTTACGGATCACGAACAAATTCTGCTGTACCATTACCGGCTCGAGCAACACCACCAACTAATGCAGTGCTTACGCCTTGTCCAAGTCCAATGGTAAAAACTCTTGCTTTGTCAACATTCATTCTTACCAATCCAATAACCTAAATATTTATGAATTATTGAAATATGTTTAGTGTTACTACTTTGATTGACCTGATCAATTTTCAATAAGCTTTAAATTACCTAAAGTTGGTTCGTAATAAATGCGATTGAATAACCTCAGTATTTCATAGCGTAATACAGTTAACCTACCTAGTCATCATAACACAGATTGCCATTTATGACAATAAAATAATAATACGTTCGTCATTTTCCGCTGAGTAAGAAACTGAACTTTCGACGTTTTTTAGTGAAGAAGACTTACAATAAGTCATGAAACATCAAAATTTAGAGTTCAAAATAGATTTTCGTTTTAGCACTACGAATAACTTGACCAATGTTCTACGTATTCGAAATTATCAAATCAAATCATGATAGTATTACTTATAAACTGATTTTTATTGTTGGAACAGTCTCAACTGAATATCAAGCTGAAACGAATCAATTCTTCTAGTGATTCAATAAGATCTGAAGTTGGTGAGAATCAGGAAGTAAACACAATTTTAAGTATAATTTTCTGAAGTTGTAGCTGCGTGAGTTGATTTGCTAACTAACATAATCTCTTTGAATGCTAAATTCTGTGACTACTCAAGAATGTTAACAAACGTTCAAAGCAAGAAAATAAACAAACGCTAAATGAAAACCACGATTGACCTCGTTGTTAACAGTTAATAGGTACATACAGGCTTTAGTCCTTTAAAATAAGGTATTTACAACAAGTTGTTCTGTTTATCAAATAAAAATATGATCAATTAAGTAGAGATAAAAGTTACGAGAAAACAGAAAACCTACTTCGTCTGCATTACCAACATCACCATCAGTAAGAAATATGATTTGTTTGAACCAACCTTCTCCGCTTGGTGTTGAATGTAGAGCTGACTTTAAAGCATTGTAAGCTTCTGTACCGCCCATATCAGCAACTAGGTCTTTTTGATAGTTCATTGCTATATTTAATGATTCTTCGTTATAGTCTCGAGGTCTAATGAAAAAAAAATAAGTGAATCAATCGATAAAACAGCTACAAACAACAGACCGAAAGAGTAGTTGATTCGATTATGAATTGACTGACATTTGACCTACAGATCTAACTGCATAAACCTGAATAAAGTAAATTAATCTCACATAATATTTTCGGTAAATTACAATTACAAAAGAAAAAAGAATTTAAACCTGGGCACACACCATTATCATTTAATTTGATGTTTATGACGTCCTACTATCACATCCATGATGATAGTAAACAACAAGTATAGGGAATGAGTATTTGAATTCTTTGAAGCATTGCTTGCAAGTAGGGAAAGTCCAAAGTGAACTCTGTTACGGTCAAATGTGGGGTGCTAGTTAGAGTTGGTAAATTGATTTGTGAGGATATGAACCTTTATTAAATGTGACTGCGACAGTGTTACATGTGCCCATGCTCCTGAGTTTCAATAAGCTTAGATCACTTTGATGTTTGTAGAACTGTTCTACGTGGTGTCTAATAAACAAACTAAAAAGCACCTTAAACAGAGAATGAATGGCTAACAACCTATATGATACATGACAATGAATATCAAGCTAAAGTCAATTTTATCTAAGACATCAGTCTATCATACAAATGTGGTACAAAGACATTTACAGAAAACACCCAAAAATTATAATACTATGGCCCTTAGCACACTCGTTAATTGGTTGGATACCAAAACCATAAAATCATGACGCAATGACCAAATAAGCAACCATGTTATGAATTAACTAGTTTTACATGATTATATAATAAATTTCGTAATTCGTGGTGCTTCGCAAGTTTATAAATGCCTTAGGATAAGTTAAAACTGTCAAGTCTAGATATAGTTGTTAATCCTTCAAAACAATATTAGAACGCATCGTCAAAATAGCGTTTACTGTAACACCTAAGTGCTTTGGTATCGTTGAGTGTGAAAAAAGTTAGTTCTTACAAGAAATAATTACGGTGATTAGTAAGATCCAAATGAAAGCTGGACAAAGTGTTTTTTCCAGAAACAGGTTACCTAGTCTCCCGACCGTAGCTGCTACTTTGACGTGGTGGTCGGGCTTGCCCATCATGATGACCCAACCGTGCTATATTGGCTGCAACATATGTTCCTGTACGTTCTACCATGCCAGGTAGGTCGACTGGAGAACAATGAGACTGAAAATAGCTACTGAAGGTCTGAGGGCGAATTCGACCTACACTAATCTACCTTCCTTTTCAGGTTCCTTAAAGAACACCTTTCCACAGTGTGGGAAACCAAGAAGTGTCATCCGCCCTGTATGAAGTGCATGAGACTAAATTGGACACAATCTTATCCTCCCTACACCCCAAAACATCCCCTTATCTTCACGACTAGCTTTTCTAACATTCCTTTATCACCCCACACGACTAATGCAAACGATCCGAGTTCACGAAATGTTATTCCTGGCCCCCTGAAACGCCGTTCTAAACTACACGTTGTAGCTTTTAATGTGCGGATATTATGTCAAATAGGGCTTCCTTAGCTAGGACTTTAGAATCCCGCGCCATTGATGAATGCTGCGTCTCGGAAACGCACATAAAAGATCCGAGTAGCGTTATTCATCTGATCTCACCATGTCAAAATAAAGAACCAGCTCGTTTAACTCTCGTATCTGGAAGTCCTGATCCTGCTTCCCGGGGCCTCGCTGGCGTAGTTATAGCATTGAGTCCTAGGGCAGAACAAGCTCTCCTAGACTGGATCCCAGTTGATAGTCGTTTCTGCGCTGGCCGACTAAACGGGACAGTAAGGACTCAGAGGGATAAGGGCACTCGCCGTTGCCTCTTCGTAGTATCTGCCTACACTCCCACTGACTGCAGTTCAGACGACGTGAAATATGCGTTTTACAAAAAGATTTCAATCTCCTCCAAAACGTTAAGCGTTGGGGGGGCCTTCAGTGCTCAAGTAGGTAGGCTAAGTGAGAAGGAAAGACACCTGGATGGATCTTATGGTGTCGCGGCTGAGAGAACAGATAATGATGACCGTCTGCTGCAACTATGCTCAGATAACCGCCTATTTCTACCAAACACTAACTTTAGGCATAAGGAAAAACATCTGACCTGGAGATCCCCAAAGTCGTCTCAACGTTGGACCCAACTAGATCACATCGCTATCAGCCAGCGATGGAGGGGTTCGATACAGAACTGTCGCCCGTTCTGTGGCACATGTCTAGATTCAGATCATGCTCTAGTGCGAGCGCGTATTTGTTTGAAGCTTACTGGGCGTAGGAAAGACGCCGTAAGAAAGCCTCTTAGGGTTTGACTTAATGATAATAAGGCGAAGAATATATTTCAGGAGCAACTAGAAAGAGAGTTAAGCAACGATGTAAGTGATTCCCATCCGAAGGCAGCTTGGAATGATATCTGAAAGGACTGTGTAAACAGCAGTGATATCTGCTAGCAAGGTAAACCGTAAGGTTAGGATGAAGCCGTGGATTTCAGTAGCATCTACCGAACTGACAGACACTCGTAAACTCATCCCACCTGACTCTGAACATGATGAGGGGCGGAGTCAGATCAGGTGCAGACTGATAAAAAGCCTACACATTGATCGCGAACACTGATGGGTAGCCAAAGCAAGAGCGATGGAAAAGGTAGTAGCGATAGGTTACGGTGGACAACTATGCAGAGTTATCAAGGAAACCGGTAGCAGGAATCAGACTGTTAGCGAAACTATCACAAAAAAGGATGGCTGTATCATTCTTTCTCTATCCACGAGATAAGATCGATGGGCAGAACACTTTAGGGATCAGCCCAACTGGCCTTCAGCTACACTTCGGTTACCCACTATCTCCAGTCATCCTGAATGGCAAATCGACGTAAGTCCCTCTAGGCTTTATGAAGTTGAAAAAGCGTTAGGAAATCTGAAGCGAGGGAGTGCTGCAAGTCCTGATAGACAGACCCCTGAGATATTTAAGCATGGTGGTTCAGTTTTAGCAGCTAGATTGACTGAGATCTTAGGTATAATCTGGGAACTGGACACAATACAATCCGACTGACCTCAATCCTTGACAAAGGTGTTCTGATGACAATCATAGGGGAATCAGTCTAACTAATATGGTTTCTAAATTGTTAGCCTCGATTGTACTTAGACGCCTAACGAGAGCTCGTGAAGAGCAGACTAGAGAAAACCATGCTGGTTTTTAACCTAAACGTGGACGGAGAGACCAAATATTCACACTAAATCAGGTCCAAGAACAAAGACACTCGGTCAGACGCCCCACACTAGTAGTATTTATAGACATTAGGGCAGCATTTGACTCCGTCGACCGTGAGGTTCTGTGGCAGTGTATGTCTTTAAAAGGTGTACCAGAGAAGTACATTAACCTTATAAAGGCTCTCTACTCGAACACCACAGGTCGAGTGAGATCTTATGGCGAACTATCATCTGAATTAATTACTTCAAGTGATGTCCATTAGAGATATCCACTCTCTCAATTCTTGTTTGATTTTATCTTGAACTTACTTTTAGGGTTAACATTATCATCGTCTAACTTTTCAGGAGTGGACGTTCTGCCAAGAGACACGCTTCCTAACTTAGAATAGCCCGATGTCATGGCCCAACTTGGTGAAGACGCTGATAAAATGCAGTCTTCTACTTTAAGTAATAATCTAAGGATGTTCGAGGTGCGATTCTGCTTGGCGAAATGCAAAATGTTGCTTCATGATTGGGTTGCATAGGCGCCTGAACTAGTAATAGGGAGTGAAGTAGTTGAGCGTGTAGACCACTTCACTTATCTCGAGAGTTTCATCACTACTGAGGGCCTGGTGACTGACAAAATCTCAGCACGGACACAGAAAGCGCGATTGGCTTTTGCCAACTTGCGTCACTTATGACGTAGGCGAGAGATATCCATTTGCTAACAAAACGGACGAATCTCCTGCACAGTAATTCGCAGTCCTACTATATGGCTGTGAAACATGGCCAGTCAGAGTAGAAGATTTCCGTAGGTTACTGGTTTTCGATTATAAGTGTCTCCGAAGCATTGCTCGTATACCGTGGGACAACCGAGTAAGCAATGCTGTCATTAGGAAACGAGTAATAGGTAGGGATGGCAGATCAATTGATGAAGTAGTGAAACTCAATGAGTTGAGGTGGTTGGGAGACGTGTTACGTATGCCTAACTACCGACTGCCTCGTCCAGCTATGTTTTTCGATATAGGAATAGCTTGGAGGACAGAGAGGCGCAGCCAGACCTAAACATGGCACAAATCCATGAAGTCACTCACAAGTGGACTGAATCATGTTGGTAGATGTAGGCTACCTGGTTGGTGTCCGCGAAACGAAAGTCACCAATCGTTAGAGACCTTGAACGACATGGCTCAAAATCGTTTGCGATGGCGCAGGTGCATCCACTCCTTGTGTTCTCTCAAATTCTAATCTTCGGAACTCCTCATCACCTATATCTTTCTCTTTTTGAATTCATCTCACTGAATTATATTTCTCAAATCATATCTTGGAAACATAATCTTCTCCATTACTGCTAATGCCGAAGTTCTATGTCGTAACTGACTGACTTACTACTAGGGCTTTATACCGGTTGTACAAGTTCGGGTTAACAACATTTCTGCACTGTGTTTTTGAAATATGGCCTTTATGAGTTGACAATGTTCAGTGACCTTCATGTCTGATCATTATTATTGTTCCGGAACACCATGGTAACACCATGTTAGTAATGCTGAGGTTCGGCAATGTGCTCGAGTCCGGTGAAGGCAATAAATCAATACCATTATCTTGAAACACCGTCTGTTATGGTATGGATACATTCATAAGTGCCTTCCTAGCGGCTGCTACATCGGGCACCAAATAATGACAGCTTTGAGACATAATCAAGCAATCCTCAAAAAAGGAGTCAGTGGCCATTCCGATGCAGTTTCGTTTCATATTCCTCATAAAACAGAGGAAAAATCCTCTTAGTTGAACAAAGTATTTCTTGGTTGTAATATTGGCCAAACTGTTTGCCCTATTATATATTACTCTCCTATATATGTTTCCTTCTTTATCGCATCATAATGTAACGGCCAGACAAAACTAAGCTGGACATGTGATAAGCGAAATAAGCAATACACATACACAATCAACGTTATGAGCAGAAAATCGACAAGGTTGAAAGGCGTGTGAATAACTACAGAGGAATTAATTAATAAATTTTCCCAAAGGCTGTGACAAACCCTGTGAGCTCAACGTATTAGATACACTACAGGTGCCTGGGAGCACCAGTTGGATTCCAAATTCGATTAAGGATGCGTATTGATTTCGCATTTGAAAAGTGGAAATAGGAACCTATTGTATCAGTGAAAATAACCACTTTAGTGATCCACTATAGTGATTCTCCAAAGAAAAATAATTTTCAGGGTATGTAGTGTCTGTGGAAAGCTGGTGAGTCATTACAATATTGACTATAACTAATACTCGGCTTACTCTGAAAATAAAGCAGCAAAACCACTCCCGAAGCCAATAATTTGAAAACGACAATTCACGGGCAAACTCTTTAGAAATAGAAGAAGGGAGGTCTTAGCGTAAGTAATATTATCACCTTCCATACTACCTGTAAATTCGAGTAAAAATTCGTGTTATTTGTAATTACAAGTTATTCAGAACAATTATAAGGATAAGATTACCAAAGATATACAAAGTTATTACCCACTTTAAACTTCGAAAACGAATAACAATTCCTGTTAATGAAGATGTTACAAGCAACAAAAACAATATGCTGTTTAGTGAAAGTTAACTAGATTACGAGACCAGATGTTATTATCAGCTATTGGTAAAAAGTATCAATCACACAAGAAATCCTACAGAATGAAACTTAGTTAACAGCTTTCGTTACATTCACTATTACTGTATTATAAATTAATTCAAAATACTTCATAAAAAGATAGATTTAGCCCATCAAAATCAAGAATAGACAGAGCAAACACTACGCCACAGCTATAAAGTCGATTATATATATATATATATATATATATATATATATATACATATACATATAATTTTGTCGTTTACTATTTTATGGTTACTAATGGATGCTTAAATGTACGCATGGAGTTAAAAACAAACGAAATACCAAACTAACAAGAAAGCATCAAAACTGTAACCAGTATGATAAACAAAATGGAATGACGAACCTGAACGATCAATCAAAAACACGAACTCATTTCGCATGCCTTTAGAAATAACAACATTAGGAATATCAGGCAAAAGCTGGACCATCAAACAATTCATAGCCAACACAGATGTTTGATTTAAGTCACCATATTCCAGAGATGCCAGAGATGTAAGTGGATCAGAAAGACTTATGACCATTTGAAGATCATGATCTGGTATAAACTCGGATGAAAGTTTGACCTAAAAAATGAATGAGATTAATTTATTTGTGTGAATCACCAATTGGCTATAAATTTATAGCTTTAAGTCATATTTTTTGTGAAGATTACCTTGTAGCCCAGAGAAAGCTCAAACCTGAGATTTATTGATTAAAAGTTCAGTAATTCAATCACTAAATACTGTTCTATTGACCGAAAGGAAGAGCTGTAAGGTTTTCATTTTCATACTGTAGAAAGCCAACAGGTAGATTAACTGGTAAGCAATGTTCATTACCTATTAGACTGCTATACCATGAAGGACAGAACTATGATATCATTTCTCGTATCCACGTTAACAGAAAATATCAAGAAAATAACTTATTAGCGAGTTATGTAAAAAGTTTCATTTCACGAAAAAACATGGTGAAAAACCGTGTCAAAAGTTGGAAATCAAATAATCTCAACATTACTGTTAAAGCGGTGTGAAAAATTTCTTGATCAGTTTGACATCATCTGTATAAGTTTCCAAACATTCTATGTGAACGAAACGTTAGTAGATGTAACGAATGAAAGGGAAATTTATATCCACTAAAACTACAGAGAAATATCTATTTTCTAAATTGTTGCGAGTTAGATTTGGTTGACAGAACAATACGTTTTTGCACAGTGCTATTAACTGATTTTTCATAGTAGAGTAATTGAACGGGTGGAATTATTTTGGGTGGTACAGACCACTTTCTGTCTTCTGATAAAAAGAAACTAGTAGGTAAAACATTTATCATCTACTTCACTACGAACGTGTTAGTGATGTGATATTTTATATGCATTGTTGGGTTGTTGAAGAAACAGGCATGTTGCAAGCAAAACAACAGCTATATTTGAGAGCAAATAGCCACAATCGAACTGTAAACATCAACATAAGAAATAACTTAAAGTCCACTGTACACACCCTGCATATCACATTTTTCAGAGAAAAATACCACTATTATAATAAACATTCATAGAACCCTTAGAATATGCAATACAAGACAGTGTGTAATTGTTGTTCCTCAGTCGAAAGCGAATACGAAGTAATAGGAAATAATCAACAATTCTTAGGAAGTACAATTTTCTTGGAAACAATGAGAAATAAAACATCTAATAGCCGTATGGTCAATAAACAAAGATAAATTCAGACAACTAAGAAACAGAATAGAAGCTAAAATAAAACTTACAAGAGCATGATTAGAATCGCTTGCACAGTCCCAGGTAAAAGTATCGCGTACTGATTTGATATCCAGGATTTTCGATGGTAACCAAAGTTCAGACTCAAATGTTATTGTGTATGGTACAGAATTCACAAGAACAAGTTCTTCGAATGGCTCAAACTCATCGGAATGTTTTTTTTCTAAATCGAAACTAAACAAAGAATATTTATTTACCTTTTGGGTAGTAACGTGGGTTGATAACGCTTGGTAAAGTTAGGATAATTTCAGAGTGGTTGAACTTAGATGAATCTGTCTTCACGTTTTTTCCTTCTATCAGTCCAACATATCGTAGAATTATAACAACCTTTCCATTTGGTGGTATATTCCCGATATTCATTTTAAATAAATCAGCACAATGTTCATCTTGCTCAGCCAGGATTGCTGTGTGCCCTTCTTCAACAGAACTATCATATATTTCTTTGGCCTTTATTGAATTGAAATAAAATAAATACTACCGTCAAGTTACGGCAAACATAGTTATTTGATAAAGTGGATGTTTATTCAACTTTAATCTGAATGAGACCCAAAACTTATTCAATACAAATAAATCTGTTACTTTTTAGAAAGTAACAACACGACTATCAGTTAGTACATAATAGAACGTTATTCGCTAAATACATAACAGGAAAACCAACAGTTATGATCAAACTTACAGTTGATAGCCATATAGTGCAAGCTATTGATACTTGTTGGTTTCTTAAATCATGAGTGAACCAAGTTCCCAACATAATGATGACTAAAGTACTACTATTCAATAAAAGATTTTCGCGGTGAAGTGTCTACATGCGCATTGGGGATACAAAGACAAATAGGTACAGCATTAGAGAATTCAGTGCCCGCAGCTCGGTATCACAAGGATCCTGAAGTATTGCTAGGCCACGATCTTAAACCACGGACCACTGCCATGCGACTGCAGTTAAGTGGCCAAGAATCCAATGGGTTTTAAGATGAACATTCACCAAGTTGGATACCACTCTGTTATCAAGATCTAAATTCGAAAACTGCATTCGAATTGCAAAGCCCTGCTTAAAAGGCAACTCGAATATGTCTTAGAAAGTACAGAGGGCAGCCACCAAAGCAATTCTAGAACTCTGAGATTTGTCATACACAGCGGTTTTAAAATTAAACTCTTTACTGTCCTGTGGCAGACCGAAGTGATTAGACTTCAATGTACAGAATGCTAAGAAGTAATTTTTAACTTCAAGTTTTCCTCACTTTATCCTCCTGCTAGGAATAGCTTGGAGGAAAGAGAGGCGCAGCCAAACCAAAACATGGCACAAATCCATGAAGTCACTCACAAGTGGACTGAGTCATATTAGTAGATGCAGGCTACCTGGTCGGTTTCTGCGAAACAAAAGTCACCAATCGTTAGAGACCTTGAACGGCATGGCTCAAAATCGTTTGCGATGGCGCAGGTGCATCCACTCCTTGTGTTCTCTCAAATTCTAATCTTCGGAACTCCTCATCACCTATATCTTTCTCTTTTTGAATTCATCTCACTGAATTATACTTTTCGAATCATATCTTGGAAACCTAATCTTCTCCATTACTGCTAATACTTCTACTATCGATACTGCTCTCCATCTGATAATGTAGTATGGCGACCTGGACTTATGTACTGCTGTACGAAGTTCTACGTTGTAACTGACTGACTGACTGAGCTAAATTATCTATTTGTAAAGGTAGTTTTATGAACTCTGATTTATGAAGCATTAACAGATGTTATAAACTCGTACGGTGAATGTGAATCGCTATTTTAACTCTAGAATACTATCCAAATTCCAGTTTTGTTGTTAGTTATATACAACTGCAGAATTAAAAACTAGAACATAAAAAAAGGTAATATAATCTCAACAAGCAGTGACTTCTTAATTGTAAGAAATAGTGTAAATAAAGAGTAAGTGTCTCAAGCATAAATATTAGAATAAAACCTCGTACATACTACAAACTCTCCAAGTATGAACTGAATATCAACTAGTTGCAATCGTAATATTTCAATAAGTAAAACTTAAACTTTAATGTGTGCTAATGTGCATATTAGCTCCTAAAACTTTATATATAGATATATACAAGAGAAACCGTAAGTAGTAAAAGTTGTTAATGAGGCATCGTCATTCGAATTTCATGTTGCACGAATATTAACTATAATCGAAAGAATAATTTACTGGGGGTGTTTGAGTCTTATTCTGTACCGATGCAATTTCACTACCCTAAACTCTGCAAGTTAGCAGTATAGTAAACTTCACCGATTATACCCAGCTACAATGTATACTTATGGCAATTACCTCTGAACGTGGACGACAGACAGATATTATCCTGGTTTCACCGATTTGTGCTTCGAAATGATAAACCGCCACATTATTCAGTGGAAAAATAAATGATGCCTCTAGAGCCTCCTGTAATGAATTTTCGTACACGAACTCAGCCGTGACGTCAGCAAGTACATTTACTATACTACATTTTATTCGGACATTCTTTAATGGAACATTTGTGCATAAGCTTTGGCATACAAGGCCAAGGCATTTATAATCCGATATATTCCAACCGACGTTCATTCTTTAAATTCTATAATCCTTAGAATTTACCGGGTTAGTTTCTAGCCTGAAGGTACGTTGTGTGCAGTATTGGCAGTAAGAATCTGAAAAAAAACGTTACTCAGAAAGAACATAAAAGGCACTTACATTTATTAAGGAACACGATTGATAATAACAAGCAATAACAGTAGTACAGGATAAGGACAATATGATGGTTGGTACTAAGAGTTTATACTGTTTGCCTCAAACTCGCTACAGTTTACACAGTTGAATAATCTCGAACTTAATAACTTCCCATGTGACCGATTTAAACAGATATTTTATATTTTTATTAGGGTTATCAAGGTCATTGTTTTTACACATTGAAATAATAAGTCATTCACTGTCAGACTACTTTCAGAAACATGGAAGCACTATAATGCCCTTTCATCCTGGTATATGACTTATCAACACTGCATATCTACGACTTCTGCTGTTTGCAGGTTTCGAACCCAGGACCTTCGATAGTGCGCTTGAACGCCTCACCTCTGAATGCCCACAGCTGATTAGTCCCATACCAGGACGAACCGACCTCCAAAACCACAACTGAAGAATCGAACACTGTGCTCACAAGTGACTAGCTTCGTGAGGAAAGTCCCAGAGTTCTAGTGAAAAGACGTACTCGACAGAGTTCAACCTTATAGGGTCTAGGTACTAACTGGGGAAAACGAATGGGTGAAGTCGTGCAAAATCCCTAGACTAATCTGAGTCACTCATAAACATTGCCGACTTAATGGCTTGGAGGTGAGGTGTTCACGCCGAAGACCGAAGGTTCTGGGTTCGAGTCGTGCAAATAGCAGGAGTCGTAGATGTGCAGTGTTGATAAGTCACATACCAGGATGAAACGACCATCCACTGCTTCCAGGTTTTCAAGGGTGGTCTAACAATTATCAGTTCGTGATGTGTAAAAAGATAAGAGGTCTGTCAAAGTAGCCAGAGTTGTCCTAATTAATAGACTTATCGCGAGATATGGCACGATAAGACTGATAAATGTGGAATGACTTCTGTTCGCGTATATTATTTAGATGCAAATTCACGCTACAGACTGAAGACTATGAGATCTATGAGATCCTCATACCTCACATATTCCAGTCACAAACTTGCGTAATAAACTTATAACACACACAGTAGTCCTTCATATATCTACTAGAAGTGCGTAAATGTAATTATAATAGCGCTTTCTGCATAATTATTATTTGAGAGCTTGTTTGCCCAACGACAACTGAAAACAGTTCATTGGCTATTAGGGACACTTAAACAGCTCATACTTTAAACCATTTTCTCGTTTGATGTCCTACACTTTGATTGTATCACGTGCTGTCATAGTCGGCAACTGTACATTTTGAAGAAAGGACTGTTTCAGCATATGGTGCCCTTCGTGCATTTACTCACTCTTATACTGAGGCTTGTGTACCGTCATGTACATTCTCTTAAGCTGTTATACTGTAGCAACAGCTTATCTCTACGATTGTATTTTTGCGCATGTATGAACATTTAAACCTGAGCACTTCTTGCCGCCTGCATTCATTTTCATTAAACCTGTTTTAATTTTACTCTCTTAAATAATTCGATGACTTGTAGTGACTGCACCTTTATGAAGAGAACACATTCATACTTACAACCAATTGTACCAATGATTGTTTTCCTGAACCTCTTTGTTTATTGCTACTCTGTATACGCGAACTTTTCGTTTCTTTTGCTGCCATTGTGATTATACTGCTCTGTGTAACTTCGTCTTTTTTCTCCGGAACGAATTCGATATTCCTTGGACACCACGAAATCGCCAGAAAATATATTCCCTTTTATGAACTAACTCCTCTTTCCTGTCCTTGGTTCACGGAGATATTATATTTAGTGACGGGAAAGTAATTGGTCTGTAATAGTGTTGAGTGTCAGTCACCATTCACCATTCTGCAATTACAATTGGTGACTTACTACAGGCTCACCCATTTTCTTAAGGTATATATGTGTACATCTCAATCCTATTCACAAGGCTCACTCGCTTGCAATTTGACACTCACGTATCATTTTCACTTTTCTCTCATGCACCTGTGGTTTCGTAGCTCGAGTGCGCTATGATTTTAGACCTGATCACCACTTCGTATTCGTCTTCTGACTTATACACCACTGAACGTTATTTGGTAATGAATATCAAGACGAACAGTGTACAAAATTTAAGAGTATATCGAGTTCCGACCGCCACAGAATTGGTGAGCACATAAAGCACCAAAATCCAATAGTTATTTTTATCATTAATTTTTTAATGGGACTTTTACGGGATCCGGTTTAGAAACAAGCCTTGTGTGGTTTGTGTGCAGGTTTGGATAAGCTTTAGCTATATCTCTAATTTAATCAGCTTAGAAATTGAGGCTTCCTTTAGTTGGTGAACTTAGGTTTCTTCAGCCTATAACTGTGGTTTGAATTCCAGCCTTTTACACTAATGAAATAAATTCGCTTACATAAAATTTAAAAATCATGTTATCAAGACTTGAATTCAATTAAAAAGTCACCCAGTTTTGTGAAGTCTTTGTTTCAAATAACATTTAGAGATACAGAAAGGATTCAGGTATGATCAAAAGCTGTTTATATCAAAATGTGATACGGTAATGGCATAATCAGTCATATAATGTCAAACGAAGCGAGGTAATTTATACTTCTTGACAGACCTCTAAATGAAATAAAAATTACTCGCATTTAGTAAAAATGAATAAAAGTCTCCTCGAAATATCGGAGATGTTAGTTAATAAACTTGGAAAAATCACCTGTTCAACAACATGTCTTGGGTGGTGAATAGTGAAGAAGCCATGAAAACAAAGGAAAGGCAATAAAATAAAAAACAAAATATTGCTAGGAGGAAGGTAATTCAAGAGGTGAAAAACTTTAAAATTATACAGACCTATAAAATGTAGAACTGGAAGTACAAATGATATTTTGGCTTTCTCAGTGATTATGTTTACAGCTGATTTATTATAGTTCTATTTATGAAGTCATGAATAATCTTAGTTTCCAGCATTATTGTCCAGTTAGTGTGTAACAGGATTCCTCGAGTTGAAGTGAAACTGAATCAATGATGCAGACATGAAATACGTAGATTCTAGTTAAAAGATCTTGTCTAACTTCATTTCAAAAATGAGGGCTTTCTAGTTACGTAACTGTGCTCCACTTCAGATCGAAATAATGCATAGTTTCAGTTTCTCCCCTTACTATAATCGAAATGGAGCTGATTAAATACGACAGTAATCAAAACTACAGTGTCAGGTAAGAAAACGTTAATGTAGTTTTTGAAAATCATAAAAATCCATAAACAACCTAAGACGAAGTCTGCAACAAAAACCCATAACCATCCCATCTAGATTAAAATTTGTTGAAAATGCACTGCTAAAGATCGCATTTAAACGTGAGGCAATAAATTTTAGTTCAAAAAATGTGTGTGAATTCACTGTTAGATGCAATAAAATTCTATCGGATTCAACCTAGACTGTTAACCCAATAATATCGGACATATAGACTAAGCAGTTGAAGATATATTTATTACATACGTGAAATAATCAGAAGAATGTGACAAACGTTTACGAGACATCCATGTTCTGTACACTTCTTTGCTTTAACTATTCTTTCTATTTCGGATGGAGACATGTTATGAAAAGATGTGGGTATAATGTAGCCATGAAGTCTACCAGAAGTCTGAGAAGAATCTAAGTATGAAACTTTTCTCGGTTTGAATGTCATCGACAGCACCAATAAACGAGAAACTGAAAACATACCGGCATCAAGTGTACTGGACGATATTGTGAACTCCATAACTTTGGTGGACATAACAAATAGGAAAAAATGAGCGAAGTGAAATATAAGAAGCTCTTATGTATCTCCCTTGTGTACATTTACGTGATTCAGCACCTGAAATAATTATTCACTGCCTTAAATTGTACCTCTGACAGGAATCATTTTTATTAAAAAACCGCTATAGCAGTAATCTAAAGACCAAGAAACAAGGACTCTAGAGTATACACAGATTTCCGAAATTTTACCTACCGGACGACATCATGTATTCAGTTTTAATAATCGAAAGTATTTCTTTTCAACGCAGCACTCACATGACCAATCACCTTTCCAGTTGCGCCTTGTTATATTGCTTCTGTAACTAAACTAAGAAACTAAGAAACTGAATCCTCTCTAGCTAATTACATAGATTTTCGTAACTCGACTTAGTCCACCATCCAAAGAGTCACTTAAGGTAGTCCTAAGAAAACCTAAATACTTCACTCTTTAAAAATTTAGAAACACAGAGATGGTGTGTTGATAGGCTAAAGTTTATATATCCGAAATTTGAACCATCATAAGTGTTATTGGAAAATTTACCTGTTGAAATTATTATAGAGTCAACTAGTCACAACGAGAAGCCTCCACAACTGTATCTAACGACCTAACTTCATATTAGGAATCTAATATTTTTGTAACAAAGTTTTGGTGCTAAAGTCTTTTTCTTGTGTTTATAAAATAACTCTTTTCTTAGTCAATTACTGTGTTATTGTTTATTTACGAAAGATAAAAAATGGTAGATCCACTATTAATCATAGATTTTGACTTCGTTGCTCTCTCCATACTAAGCGACCTCCTCCTAAAGAGTCTAATGAAACTATAGATCAGAAGCAACGAAACAGAATAAGCCTGCAAGAAACGAAGAATCTTCGACTGAGTTGGGTAACGCACAAACTACGGGCATGAGATTTACCGTTTTCCTATATTTTCTACTGAACAGAAGAAATTAGTGATAAGACGTAATGAAAGCATCAAACTAAATTCCAGTAGATGCTTATTATACAACTCTTCAAAATGGTTTCGGTATGTGCCTTATGTAATGCTTTTATACATCAGCATACAATCATGAAAAGTGTGTCATTTGTGAAACGAAGCACATTGGATAAACAAACAATTCAGTTTTCAAGTTACTTTAATGGTCATATACAAAAAATTCGATGGAC